TATCAAATGTGTCAACGTGATACTGTATTCCTGAATGTCCTCTCTAGCTAGAGTGGTGATGGCTCCTCAAGAGTGAGTGAGTGTGGTTCAAGGTCTGTTTAACTAGTATTTTGTGAGTCACGGCGTGTCATGTCAAGGACGATAGTGGCACAAGACCGATATATGTACCACCACAAAGTTGTTCATGGCGCTGACAAACTGCAGATCAAAACCGGGACGAATCTGGGATTCGAACCCTCGATCGAGATCCGGCAAGACATTATGAATTTGGACGCCTTTGTCTTCAGAGCCCGTCGTCTGCCCTGGTAATTTAAGATAATTATCTCATTTATTTGTAATTATCCTTAGTTTGTCATTGGAATATTGCTGAATAAACACCAAACAAACTTAAATGAGAAGCAGTACCATTATATTTTCCCGAACTATATTTTCAGAACCTCTTCTCATGGGAACAAATGTTATTGTGAACAGACCGAGGCAATTAATTCCATAAAAAATAAAATAAACCTGCAATAGCAAACAATCAAGTGAATTTGCAATGAGCACACAAAAGAAGGTGGGGATTGTTCGTTTCAAATTTGTCGAACATTAAGTAAATGTATTTGGACACATATGTTTGCAGTTTGTTTGAACATATACTGAAAGCCATTAAAAATGCAATTTGACATTCATACTTTCTTTACTCACACTAATTTCAACATATATAAACCTAACTGGCAGATATGTTTTAAGTGAACATCTGTGAATAATTTCATCTGAAAATGTCCAGTCAACAACAACATCAGTGACGCAACAACGACATCACACAAAGGAGGGGTCACTTGCAGTCAATATCGTGTGTGTCCACCGTGCGCTGCAAGACATGCTCGCAGTCTTTGGGGCATTGAAAGACACACATTTCTCAGGATGGTCTGCAGCCTCTGATGGTCTGTGGTCTGATCATGACACCACCCCCTCCAAAACGATCATGTTCAAGGACACAGTCTGGCGCAAATCTTTCTCCTTTACGTCGATAAATCTGTTGACGTCCATCTGCAAAGGATAAGTTAAACCTGGTTTCATCTGAAAAAATGACATCTGGCCATGTTCTGTTGCCAAGATTGGCCCCATTTGCTGCCCATCGCTGTCTGGCAAGTCTGTGGCGATGCAATAAGGTTGGACCACGGTACGGGTGACGACACCGGATGTTGAAGGCAGCAAGGCGTCCTTGCATCTTTTGGGCGCTGAAATGACGTTGACTTGTCCCAATTGTCCTCCTTGCCTAATCATCAGCTGTTTGGAACCGATTTCGCAAGTGTGAAACTCGGATATTGCGGTTTTGTCGAGCTGTTATCACAGGTTGTGCACCAGGTCGCGGACGATCAGCAACACTTCCGGTAGCCCGAAAACGTTGTCTGAGTCGACTTACAGTGGATGGATGCACATTAAAGTGCCTGGCAATCATCACATCTGAAGCACCTTGGCTGACCAAACCGATAACCTGATTCCTTTCGTCTTGTGTCAAGTGGGGCATTTTCTCAAAGTCATTGAGTTCCACAATTCCTTGTGCTTTTACAGGGCCTGGGTGCAGGTAATGCATGTGTACAACGTGTTTCATGAATGTGGTTGTGCTTACGAGAAATGTCAAAGGTTCAGTTTTAAGTATCAAAGTTCATGTGAGAGGAATGCTCCGGGACTCGAACTCGAACTCGAAATGGGCCAGAATAACAGCCTTTTATCCCTACATCCTCTGTATCGCAGGAAAACATCTTCAATAGAACTTTTGTAAGTTTCAGGACAAGAAATACCAATTGCGTTTTTAATGGCTTTCAGTATATTTTATTCAGTGTTGAAATGGCTTGGGCACAAGTTATGTAACTTATTACCGCCCGCTCCCATCAGAAACGTGAACAATAATGAACAATAATGATTGGACGTAATGGATGGACATAATAATATTGAGACATAGAATTGACTAATTGAAGCGCTTACTTCATACAATGTATTTATGCACATGTCTAAAGATATTTTCATTGATAGTATTTGACAGAGCAGGGTTGCCGTAAAGAATGGTATCAATGTCTAAGTGAACTTTTGATAGTTCAAAGTCTTTCTTCAGATCAAAACGGCAACTGACAAATTTTGGACATTTTAAGAAGAAATGGTTAGCATCTTCCACCGGAGCACCACAATTGCAAGCTCTACTCTATGATAGATTAACACGAAACATATCTGCTTGTAATGAACTACACGAATGTCTTAACTTCGTGTGTAGTATATTTGTCTTTCTTTCCCCAAATAGAAAATATTTTGGAACCTTGTCATTATTTCCAGATAACTTTGATTTAAACGATGATAATGAATTTGTACATTTTGTTGTAGAGGAGAGAGCTTTCCATAAACTTGCAGAATCATAAATAAATGACTTTTGGAGAATTGAGGTGCGAAATTTAGGAACAGCCAAATCTGATTTGTTACGCAAGTTGTATCCGGAAATGGTTTCAGTAAAAGGTGGAAGTAAATCTGTCAGGTAATCAGGAGCTTGCATGTTAACAATTTTGTAGAATGTACAGAGTTTCATTTGTGTTCGTCTAACTTTCAATGGTAACCAACCAGTTTCCCTGTAAAAATTATATCTTGAAGCGAATTTAGGCAATCCGGTTACAATTCTTGCTGCCTCAAGTTGTAACATTTCAAGTTTATCACAAATATAGCTAGGGCAATTATCCCAGACCTTAGATGCATATTCTAAAATAAGCCTAATATACATTTCGTACATACTAGAAAGGATATATCTAGGTAATACGTACTTTAGCGTCCGTACATATGTGTATATGATACAAAAGATTTTTAGTTTAAATCAGGGTATGAAACTCCAAAAAAATGACCAAAACGTACCTGCCCTCACAAAAATACTATTTTACTCAGTATAATTAAATTAATACTTGTAAAATATTGAAAAAACTAATACTAACTTCATATACATGTCTAAATTTTAACCCTACCGTCGGGCAGGTGAACTTGAGAATCTGGCAGTCCGGGCGGTCGGGCAGGCAGGTATTTCGAACGCTGCTTAAATCATATACGGTTTCGGTTTGAAAATAAAACATTTTTACAGAGAAACCCTCGCTCCCACGTCACTACTAAATATCTCACGACAACAAGATCAGAATATTGAGCTGATAGTATTCAGCTCGAGATCTGAGATGATTATAGTTGATTGCAAAGAGTGCTTCTGTCTGATTGTTTTGCTAATTTATCCAACATTCCAATGTTGTAAGGGAGATTTGAACGTAATCAAGTTTGAACCTGACAAATAAAAGTGGTTAATATTAGGAGCAACGTCCAAAGCTGGTACGATAGCACGCGATCCCGCCTATCCGATTTTGTCGCTTCTGATAACAGGCTATATAGTGAAGAATAATGACAATTATTATGGATATACAACTTCTTTTATTCTGTATATCCATAATGATTGTCATTATTCTTCATCAACTCAACTTTTAAAATGCCCATCAAAGAAGCTATATAGTACTAGGGTATAGTCACCGCGCACTTGTGTTCGGACTGGTGAGTGAGTGAGTGAGTGAGTGAATTTAGTTTTACGCCGCTTTTAGCAATATTCCAGCAATATCACGCTGGGGACAAAACTTGGTTTCACTCGTTGTACCCATGTCAGGAATCGAACCCGGGTCTTCGAAAGTTCCTCATTCACATTATGAAACCCACGTAGACAGCATTTAATGCACTGTCACGACACTTCTATTTCTGCTGCTTCTACTACTACTGCCAATACTACTACTAATACCGCTACTACCACTAGTAATAATAATATAATTATCACTATAACTGCTGACACCATTACTTCTACTCCCGTGAAGATCCGGGTTAGAATTGGTCTCCAGTAACCCATGCTTGTCTGGATCGGGTGGTCAGGTCCGCTGACTTGGTTGACACAAGTCATCGTATCCCAATTCCGTAGATTGAGGCTCATGCTGTTGATCACTGGATTGTCTGGTCCAGACTCGATTATTTACAGACCGCCGCCATATGGCTGGAATATTGCTGAGTGCGGCGTAAAACAACAAACCAAACTACTACTACAACAACTACTACCACCACCACTACTACTACTACTACTACTACTACTACTACTACTACTACTACTACTACTACTACTACAGCTGCTGCTGCTACCACCACCACTACTACTATCACAACACCTACTACTACTGTCATAACCACTGGGGCGGTGGGGTAGCCTTGTGGTTAAAGCGTTCGCTCGTCACGCCGAAGGCCCGGGTTCGATTCCCCACATGGGTACAATTTGTGAAGCCCATTTCTGGTGTCCCCCGCCGTGATATTGCTGGAAGATTGCTAAAAGCGGCGTAAAACCATATTCAGTCAGTCAGTCATAATCACTACATGTACTACAGTACTACATGTACTACGGTACTACAAGTATGCAGCAGTCCCACACTTCCCTCACATCCTGGTACAAAGCATCCACATCTATACAACTGACTGCAGCACCTGGGTCTAAAACTAGCCCACTAAAGGCAATGACGGAACAGAATTATCATCACCGACATCAGACATATTACCATATGTCCTAACACATACGAACATTCCACAAAACCTAAAAAAAGGAGACTAAGAGAATGCTCTCTGGGTCTTAGCGTCCTGTGTAAGAAAACTTCTGGTCAGTTCATTTCGTTTATAAAAACTGTACTGCAACATTCAGCCAAAAGACCAAGGATACGACGACCCAAAACTTGAGGGCTTAAGTGAATGTTGTTTCGCGCCGCACTGAGCTCTATCCAAGTCAAAATATCGGCAGGTTGTACTTGTCTGTGTACATCGTCCAAGTCAGGCAATGAGTGACAATAGCGTAGAGAAATCACATGGGTGTTACAGCGAACATTCGTGACATTTAACATAATAAACAACCGGAGCAACTGTGTATAAATAGGCTACGGCGATGTAAATATTTCAGAATGTATAGCCATATATACACATACCTTTCTCACGCCTCATTCGACTGCAGTGCGGACGACAATATCGTAACACTGTTAGAAAGTGTTACAGGGTCAAACAAGGCTTTACACTTCCTCGTCGCTGAGCTCGTATTGTAAATGTGTTATTTATTGCCCAACTCGGTGTGTCAAACCGACCACACCTAGAGGGGACAATATTGATATCAGTTTTACTTCTTGCTTACTTTCATGGCGATTGGTGGTCCCTTGTTAAACAAGTGCAATTAAATTTAACAATTTGCCAGTTAATGTTTGACCTTTCCGTTCACTTATATTTTAACTTTAACAATTTGGCAGTTAATGTTAAACCTTTGGTTCACGTATATTATACCTTTATGGTATGTTTATTTTACAACAAAACGCTGAAGGCAAATTAGTAAAAAACACGAATATGATATAATAATGGCGCAATCTCGGCAGAATGAACTTATCCTCGTTAAAAGTATCCTCATTGCAGGGTCACGACGGTGATAATGGTTATGGTGAATACAGAGAAATCGATTTATCATCAACAGTTTAATATGTCTGTATAACACGGTGTTTCGTTAAAGCTGAATAGATGTGGTCATTGTTTAACACAATACTATTAATAGCGTGCACGATACTCTGGTATGCCCTGAATGAGGAAATGAACTAGTTTCAACGGGGCTTTAAATAGCATCCCAAATATTTCATGGGGGTCACGGGGGGAAAGGCCAAATCGTGGGTATGATCCTGACAAATCTGAAACACATTTTGAGAGCGAACCGGATTCAAATACGAAGATTTCCCCCGACTGGCTCCCAGTTCGCTACCACGAAATTAAATTAAGTTGTGAAATATGGTAACAAGGTACAAAATATGTTTAGTTAACATTGGTGTAAGGGAGATAACTCCGTTTTCTTTAGCGGTATGCAAGGTGAGCATGCCGCCGAAAAAGGGAAATAACTCGCGAGAGTTTTTGTGAAGGACGTTGGAAGGTTGTAATGGTTTCGGGAATAAAGGGCTCAACTGCACACCACTGCACAAAGTGTTTGAGACAGTACAATGGGGGATATAAAAAAGACGCGTATGAAATGTTTATAAACTGACGCATGTTATCACATGACATGTATGAAACACTTGTGCATTTAGATACTAGAACACATAACACGACATAACGTGAAACACACATAACATGTTATTTAAAGCCCAGGTTAAGTATAGTTTAATGTACATGGCTTTCTTTATCTTTCAAACTACAACAAATTAAAAGCAGAAGAGACATATATATGGTACAGTGAGTGAAGCCAATAATCAGTACTTTAGTCCCATCTGACATTTGACAGAACCTTGACCAAAGACCGATGTGGTAATTTATACTGCTAAACACGTTACGTCTTCCGGTCTTTTCTATTACCATATCTAATCTGTCATGTCTAGGTCGAGTGGTCTTAACTCCTTTGAGTAGTACATGCGCCTCATTGAACTAATCACTCACTATAGTCCGTTTGGCTCAAACTTGGACCGATGAATTTGCAATCTACCTCGACTGACTGAGTTTGGTTTTACGCCGCTTTTAGCAATATTCCAGCAACATCTCGGCAGGGGACACCAGAAATGGGCTTCACACATTGTTCCCATGTGGGGATTTGAAGCTTCACGCACACCAGGCTTTTCTTCTCTTTGCACTCCTCCCTCCTCCCTTTTGAACTGTGTCAAAATTTTAATGATAGTTTGTTAAACAATTTTTTATTTTTAGAACATATATTCTGCAAGAACCTCATAGAGTTGGTCTGATGTTTTAATTATGATCAGGGTTTCATTTAGTATTATATGTATATTAGTTTTCGAGTTAGATTGCAATTCATCGGTCCAATTTTGAGCCAAACGGACTATAATGGCTTGTTTCGCATGTAAACACGCAGTGGAAAGGCTTAGAATAGGCGCATATCAGCATTTTTATCATCATCAACATCAGGAACCTGAAACCAGTAATTTAAATATTAAAGAAATCAAGTAAGGAACCAGGAACTTATTTAGTAGTGAATTTTATTAAACCTGTGGTGTAAATAAGAACATTAATTGCAAATCATATTCAAACATATTTGAGTCCTGGCTTTTTATATTGCCTACAGCGTTGCACCCGACTGACACGCTCTGCAATCATTATCTACCCATATAGCGTGACTCTTTGCTTGTGTCAGATCATGCTGACTGCGCCGGGTGCTCAGCTCGCAGGTCTAGTGTCCTGGGATACCGTAAACACTCTATATAGGTAACTTGTCATCTAACTATATAAACACTGCCAAATGATATCTCTCATTGCAGGCTCACTTGTTCCAGATACATTTCAATGTGCTTAATCGGCTCTCAGTACTGTAAGGTCTAAGGCTTTCATTGTTATCAATATTTTCCGCTTGCATTCAAAATGGTCGAGTTTATCACACTGTATTTTAACATTAAATGGTGGACGTAGTGTTGACTGGTCAGCCGTCGTGACTGGATCGAAACTACGATTAAATTGGCAACAAACACAGCTTTATACCCCTACCAAGTGGAAAAGGGTATTTCTCTCTCTCTTAGGGGCAGCGGGGTAGCCTAGTGGTTAAAGCGTTCGCTCGTCACGCCGAAGACCCGTGTTCGATTGAAAGTAATGGAATAAAATATATGTATGAAAATAATCAATTCTGTATGAAAATTATTTCCTGACATAGCATACTACTTTTAACCTAAGTGACACTAGGCTTTTTTGACACAGAGAGGTGTGATAAAAAGATAACATTTTGACTCTTCCATAACACTAAACTGTTACTATTTTCACGACCACCCCCATGACAATATTAAAATCGTCAGGTCAAGATGACAAAATACTTAACTTAGCCAAAGGACAAATATTCTCAAAATACTCACTGTAATTCCGTTCACTGTTCCGCCTTATTTACGAGTTATCAGGTCTTCCGTGTCACCAAACACAACAATGTAAAAACTGATAACAAGTAATGTCTGAGGCTTTCATTGTTATCAATATTTTCCGCTTGCATTCAAAATGGTCGAGTTTATCACACTGTATTTTAACATTAAATGGTGGACGTAGTGTTGACTGGCCAGCCGTCGTGACTGGATCGAAACTACGATTTAATTGGCAACAAACACAGCTTTATACCCCTACCAAGTGGAAAAGGGTATTTCTCTCTCTCTTAGGGGCGGCAGGGTAGCCTAGTGGTTAAAGCGTTCGCTCGTCACGCCGAAGACCCGTGTTCGATTCCCCACATGGGTACAATGTGTGAAGCCCATTTCTGGTGTTCCCCGCCGTGATATTGCTGGAATATGGCTAAAAGCGGCTTAAAACCAAACTCACTCACTCTCTCTCTCTCTCTCTCTCTCTCTCTCTCTCTCTCTCTCTCTCTCTCTCTCGATCTCTCTCTCTCTCTCGATCTCTCTCTCTCTCTCTCTCTCTCTCTCTCTCTCTCTCAACCCCAGTACGAGTACGACCCCTGGACAAGCATCCACCGTTAACATCTTGTGCTTAGGCCACCACACTGGTAGGGAAGGGAAGTGGAGGAATCTGTCATTTCTCCCCGAATTCCTTATCTAATTACGTGAGAAAATCACAAGAAACAGGAAATAATGTCTTAGGAAGTTGCACACGTTTCTTCTTCAAGTGTACATATGTCCAACATGAACACATGACACCATATCCATGACCTCTCCTGTGAAATGTTATGAATCAATAGTTATGTGCAAATACTTTTAAGCAGCATTGCTGTTTATTCTTTATAATCTTGTTACATTGAATGTCTAGAATATAGATTCAGTAAGTAAACCGCAGGGCAATAGATAATATTAACTTGAAAACTGAATTTGACCAAAAATACAGACGTTATTAGGGCGAAAAAAGTCGCCGAAACACTCAATCTTCATGTCCTTAACACAACTATGCTACCCGGGTGAAATACATCCCAGTCGAACAGCCTTATCTTGGTTCATTAAATCATCCTCAAACATTGACGTGCACTTTCTTTTGCCCTTCAGTATACATGTCTCATGACGCTGAATGTATGTCCTTGAAACGAGGCACACGTGGATGCCCACTGTCCTTGCAGTGTCTCAGGAATCCTCTTGTGAACAGTGAATACATGTCCTTGAAAACAAGCTCAGTGCCCGTGGAGGGAGGTGGCGTAGCCTAGTGGTTAAAGCGTTTGCTCGTCACGCCGAAGACCCGGGTTCGATTCCCCACATGGGTACAATGCGTGAAGCCAATTTCTGGTGTCCCCCGCCGTGATATTGCTGAAATATTGCTAAAAGCGGCGTAAAGCTAAACTCACTCACTCATTGCCCATTGGCTCTCTTCATCGTGGATATCTGTCCTGGGATGCCTCCTGTCTGATTAGATAGCATCTACACCAGTACCGTTCTTAGTGGTCAATCTGGACGGTGTTAGCAACGCAAAACGTCGCATCCATTACAATACAGATGTTGTTGATCCATTTAACTTGTTTCTCTTCATCATATTAACTTCTTCGTGGTCAGTCTGGACTCCACCTTTCCTGACGGCGAGTGTAGACTCCACCTTTCGTCACAGGGAATTCATGTCGAACCTAATAGTCTACACACCTAAACTGCCAACCGGACTGATAATACGGAGAGATGAACAGTGAGACCTGCTGAAAGGATGGCCCCATTCCGGGCCACAGTACAAGAAACGTCCCTGTATAAGTCCGCCATGGGATGAGGTAATTGACTGTATCTCCACTTCTTACGACGTCATGATGATGGCGTCTGAAGTTGGGTTGCAGACTTTCGCTGCTGGATACACGTGCCGTCAACACGCTCGTTAAAACATCCCGAACTGTTAACACAAATATGTTACATCCCTTTGGAGAAAAGATAGTCCCCAAGGCGCATCACCTGAAGCTGGGCTGTAGGTTTTACTGTTTGATATAACGTCACTTACACGTGTCGCAATCCTGGTCGTGAAAACAACCCGAACTGTTAACACAAACATCGCTACATCCCTTTGGAGAAAAGATAGTCCCCAAGGCGCATCACCTCCTCGTTGCAACTTTTAGATTTGCATTTGTGGTCACTCACGCCAATGATGACCAAACAAGATGTCTGACACACCGAACACCCATCGCTGGCGGTCCGAGCATATATTCCACAGGAGCCGTCAGCAAGTCTAGTCTGATAATGCTTATTGTTGATAGTAACCCCTCTGCGATAGGCAAGTTGGGCGTTACACAAACTCTGACATATCTCTTCAAATTCATCCTCATAGATCTCAAACCCTGTAGTGGAGGACAGATACTGACCACTACTTCTTTCAATTATGGCTGCGTCGGACACATGATTTGACCCAATCAGGAAGTCGGAGATATACCTGTCCCAGGGTTTACTCACATATTCAGTACCCTCAGTTTTCGCATCATTTTCCTCATTTTGTTGAGGACCCCTTTGTTTAGAGCACAAGGGAACCTGCACACCGCTCTGTTCCGACATGTTGTGTTGGGGTCCCAGAGAGTCGTTTAAACCCTTTACTTTCTTATCTTATGAATTATGGATAAGACGCGAAGGCACGTAATCCGCTTGCTCGATATTTCTCCCTCGAGTAATCGATCGCATGGGACCGTAAAACATTGTAACGGCAAGTCACTTGTAATAAAGGCTCACGGCCATTGTTGAGGTCGCAGATACGTCACTCTGTGACCCCCTGACCTTATGTCTAAGAGGATATGTTGGAACAGAGTTGTAGAAGAATTGTCGGGTCAATACACCTTGATCTTTTCAAGCAAAATGTGATGGGTGGGAATCTTTTTCGATTAGTCGAAGCTAATACACTCAGCGGGGGATGCTTTTAGACTTGATTCATTGTTGTTTAACTCCGCACTCAGCAAATATTCCAGCTCAATGGCCGCGGTCTGTACATAATTGGGTCTGGACCAGACAATCCAGTGATCGGGAAGGTTTTCAGTACATGAACAGTCATATATGTCGCAGGATATGGTTTAAAATTTAAGCCTTAATTATATATTTCCATAAATATCATTTACTGGGCACACTTACTGTTCATTAATAACTTGTTTGCTGAATATATTGATTTGCGATATGAATTTGATTCGAACGGTATTTAGTCATGATCAGTTGCATGAAAATGTAGAACACTGGCTCTCAGCAGATATATAATTAGCAGTGGACCACACATGCTACATATGCATCGACACGTCGTCTATCTTAGCACGAAATGCCATATCATGCACCTTTGCAATCTGTTGTCATGACGACAGAACCGCTGAAATACGTCATGATGTTTGAAACAATAGCTCGGACGCTCTAACGAAATGTCACCATGTGCAAACAACGGAACGAAACGCCAGGCCGACTACGACATCGGTACAAGCGTTGTAAGAGGATGTAGCCACGAGGACTATCGTACCATTGATACAGTTTGGTTTGGTTTGGTTTGGTTTCTGTGTTGTATATTTCGTACTCCTAATATCCTAGTTTATATGGCGGCCGTCTGTAAATAATCGAGTCTGGATCAGAGAATCCCGTGATCAACATCATGAGCATCTCGTCGCAGTTACACATGACGACGACAACCAAAACACTGTCACTACACGAGGTACTACAACGTATACACATGATCCTACTCCATAACACCCACTACCCGGAAACACCTACTACAACGCCTAGGCACAGCATCATGCTATACGCCAGTTACGACATCCTGGTCTGACAATAACAGCGAATAAACACGATAGCGGAGACCGAGGGCAATATTTCAGGCGTAAAATTACGTTATCAGCAATGCAACGAAATCCAACACCCCATCACTGTGAATCTGGAAAATCGAAAATCAGGTTTTCTATTGTCTCTGTGAGTCAATGAACGCAAGGGTGATTGTTCTAGGTTGATGTCATATACTCATGCCAATAATGGTTGTCACACCCCACCCCACCCACACCCCCACACCCCCCCACCCCAACCCCACACACAATTGAAGGGGGTGACAACCATTATTGGCATGAGTATATATTTCATTTAATATATATCTAATATTTTCATCCTTGGTCCACGAGGAGGCACGGGGCTCCTTGTCGTCTAAGACACCGTGATTCGCTGTACAGAGTTGCTCCCCTTTGGCGTGTGAGAATCCTATAATCGTATCATCTAATCTCAAATACGCGTGGGTTAGGTTCTTGGGTTTGTCAGCACCATCGATTTTTCTCGTGGGTTCAGCCACGAGATAACACTTCCAGGCACATAGCCCCCGAGGAAGGTTTATAAACTGTCTCATCCATAACGTTCTTCCTCGGCAATTCCTCCGCGATATTGCTGGGATAGTGCTTAAAGCAGCGTAAAACGAAACTCACTCCACGGCAATTTTTATCGGAATTTTTATCTCCTGGTTGAACCCTCGGGAAATGTATGGCAGGTGACGGGTGGTTAGATTCGCTGACTTGATTGACATGTCATCGTATCCCAATTGCGCAGATCGATGCTCATGCTGTTGATCACTGACACGGCTGGTCCAGATTCGATTATTTACAGACCGCCGCCATATATATGGAATATTGCTGCTGAGTGAGGCGTAAAAACAACCAGCCAACCAACCACGGCAGGTGATGGTAAGATCATAACTCTTATCTCCAATCAAATTATACCAGCAGTGACGTCGTCGCCTCTCGTGATGTCACTAACAATAACTCTAATCCTTTTTGCCACGGAAGCTGGTTAGCTGCACAAGTTAGAAGTATGATGTTGGATGATCAAAAACATCTCGCCTTCAAGTATTTTTTATATCAAGACATAAATGTTTAATACCACCGCTGTCACATAACCCGTCGACCGCCTCCGTGGTGTAGTGGTTAGAGCGTCCGCCCGGAGAGCGGAAGGTCGCGGGTTCGATCCCCGACCGCGTCATACCAAAAGACGTTAAGATATGGTACTTATTGGTCCCTGTCTGGCGCTCGGCATTAATGGGTACAACAAGGACTGGTCGGCTCGGAGTCAGTATAATGTGTCTGAGTGGGGCATTCATGCTTCACTGCGGCATGGTATCTCAGTGGGCTAGCACTATAAAACCAGCTTAAGTCTGGGCTAGTACAAGCAGCCGCACATACACATACACACGCATGCACGTCGTCATATGAGCGAAATATTCTCAAGCACGATGTTAAACCGAATTCCACCACCACCACATAACCCGTATATTGCATAGCTGTAAACAGCAAATACACAAAGCAAAAATAACAGAATCTCCTCGCAAAATAGGGACATTGTGTCAACAAACAAACAAACTAATCCGGAACGACACCCCTGAACATAATTAAATTATGTTGCCCAAACAAAGTGAATCGACAATCATGTGGTATATAACTGTTAGATCTCCAGGAGTGTGGTTTGCTCACACATTGAATCGACTTCAGCAAACCACACTCCTGGAGATCTAACAGTTATATACCACACGATTGTTTGATGTAGATCTACATTACACCCAATACCTTAAGCCTCCTTGATCTGGCCCCATGCTGAGAAGTGCTGTACTTACATATACAATTGACGTGCAACCGGGCATGCAATCCTGAACACACTTCACCTGACCCTGATGGCATGGCAATGATATTGTCAGAACATGTCTCTGTAACCCTTTGATACTCAAACAGGAAATGGTAACCGAAATCTTTATTACAGTGGAATCTGTTTAAACCGGACTTGTTGGACTGGGCAGTGATCCAGTTTAGTGAGATTTTAGCAGTTGCCCTGTGTCAGCAGCGTCGCGACATACGTACGTGCGTGCGTGCGTGAAAGTATACACCAGTCGATTCCAATTAATTGAAAATAGTAGGAGAACATTTTTGTCTTTACTCAAATTTGGTAACATGTTGTTGAAAATGCCTGTTTATACCAGGTCAGGTTAATCCGTATAAATTGTATGCAGATTTTATACATTCTAAACAGCCAATTGCTTTTAAACCGTCGAACTACTGAGGGAACATAATGTGAAAGGTCTGAGCAATATTCCTGTCATTCATGGCGCTACATCCCAAACTGTATCGACCTTGGAAACTGAACCTTGAGTGATCACCTTCGTATCGAGCTACCTCGTCTCTGCCTTAAGTCTGTCTCGGGATAATAAAACATCCTAGAACATCCACAATAAGAATTATTTAAACAGCTGATGTATCTAATTCTTACGTACACGGAGAACGTCCTTGAACAGTGCAATTGCCTTATGCATAACATAATTAGAGCTTCTCAAAAGGTCATCGTAACCCAATCCGAGTTGCTTCCCTTTGATCGAGCACACTGTCACTGTAATTACACGACATTTGTCCTTGTATCGTGTAATTTAGATGTGAAATTGAACTGAACTATACACATATTATAGATTTCAATTAATAAAGAATAGTAAGGTTGTTTTTAATATGTCTCCTGAAAGCCTGTGGCAAATGTATAAAAGTAGAAACTTCGGCCTACAAACCTCGGCATCGTAATTTGATATTTATGTCGAACATGTGCTAGTGGCGACATTGGCTTGAAATAAGAAGCAGAACAATTACGTTCCTTCTGTCTGTAAAGTTTGTGCAAACAGGATTTGACCTTTACATTATTTCCACCAGCACACATGGCTGCAACAACGGAACTACGTCTGTGATATTCTTCAGTATCAGTCTGTGATGTATGGCTCGGATTGTGCTCTATTCTCACGATGGACAGGGAAAATCTGAGACATGATTTTCTGTGATTTTTGAGTATGCTCTAAACAAACTTTGACACATTATAATTTCAAATGATCTCAAGGTTTTCTTTTGTCCTTTTCATGTGAAACAACTGCATTGGCAGTTGTATGTCGTTAAAACCAAAAAAGAATGCTAGTCAATTATTTCATACCAACTCACAACATTTCCTTTCAAGCAGTTATTAAGTCTAATTAAAAGATATCATAAACATTACACGATAGATTTATTTTCATATTTTTAGCACAATTTGTTTGATAATCGGATATTTCACAATTACTGTTTGGTTAACCTGACACTTGGATTCACTAGTTCAGCCTAAACATATGACATTCCGGTTTTCTTTTCACAGATTATAAGAAAGAGTCATCTTTTTGTAACAGAGGTTATTCATCACACAGAGAACAAGAAAAATCAGCGTTCTTACCTACTGTAAAACAAGTTACTCAACACAACTATACAGATAATGGCTACATGACACAGATAACGACTCCACCTGGAAATATTGTCAATGTAACCGGTAGCCAGCGTCCAGTACGACAAATGTCGAGGTACGGACAGGATGCCATGTGTTTGTGTAATGACTGCGCACTACATCTTGTTCAACCTGTGGCTGTCAAAATATGTATGGCGAACGATTATATAGGACAACAGTATTTATACAGCTTGCCAACTGCACATAGTGGAAACGTGGTCAGACGGATACAGTTGCGTTGCAAGGCAAACGAAAGCTGCACTTGAAATTTGGATTTGACCTAA